AGTAAGGGAAAGCATAGAATGCTCATGGTATGCTGAAAGTGAATTTTATTTACTTTTAGTATATCTAATATTTGCATTTTGATTTTCATCTTGAATATTAGTATTTCACATTAATTTTACTCCAAAAATTGCACTTTAATTCTAGAAGTAAAAAAAAATGTTGAGCAAGAGGAATGCTCACTAGGTAACTCAGGAACTAAACATTAACATATTAAAAGATTGATGTGTATTAATATTAGTCAAATCTAATTAACTTGCTTAGAGTTGAGCTGGTAAGTACATCAATGGTAATACATTATAGACTGAACCAATGGTGCTTGGTTTTCTTTTCCTAAACTAGCCTTCTCCCCTAGGATTTCTTATTGTTGCTACTACTAACTAGTTCAGCTTGTTGTGGAAACTCCAGTAGACAGGATAACAGCAACTGCTATTATAACACTCTATAATCCGAACCCAATTTGAGTAAAAATCGGAAAACATGTCAGTAAAAATTACCAGGATCACAGAAACCCTGTCTACCTTCAGTGGTAACAAATGGTGATAAATGTTAGGGAATAAAGACTAGCATAGACACAGCCTTAAAGCCACTGATGAATTGATTGCGAACTTTGTTCTAGTCTAAAGAATGATTATGTTCTAGCCTCAGGATGAAATTCACCTGTTGACAGAAAACCTGTTCAAAGCCTTTCAAGTAGCAGAACCCATAGTGGCCTTGCATGGAGAGATGAGCAAGTGAAACAGCTGATCAGAGTGGTTTAAGTACTCCTTGCACACCCTGGAGATGGGCTTTGCATCAGCATATTCAGAAAGTACTGCAGGCAGAACCAACTACTGGCTACACAGAGCCAGTGCCTTGGAAATTCACAGAAATGGAAATAGAAGCTGAAACAACACCTCTAATGGGGCTTTAGAGGTGTCCTGCCCAGAGCTTCATGATATGAAGAGCTCATTTATTTAGGCTTTATGGTGGGGGACTTGGTGATTAATTTAATGCAATGTGAATAAACTTTTAGAACTTTGGCCATTTTAGGCAGTTTGTTTTGTTTTTAGATAAACTATGTATTTTTCCCTCTAAAATACCAAAGCAATTATTCCACATTGTGAACTTATTGTATGAAATGTTTCATTTTAAACAAAGGATTAAAAAAAATCAAAATAGCACAAGACAGCGCCTTAAAATATAAACTTTTTTTGTTTCTAACCATCTATGCAGAAGAAATTTTTATTGCACACACTTAACTTCTGAAATACATAAAGTTAGAAAGAGAAGTCTGACAGACACAGAATCCTGAGTGATTACTAAGGCCCAGATTCTCAAAGGTATTTAAGTGTTGTTAGCCTCTCTAATTGTGATTGTGTCACTGGAAACAAGGAGGAGAGGCAGGTCTTATAGTCCAGCTTGATCTATGTAAGCCACCAGCAATCACGTGCCAGCTCATCCGTGCTACCCAGATCACATCCAGGGTTGTGTTGGAGTGGAAGTGTATGAACAGGAATCCTGATGAGAAGTTGTGGTGGGCACAGAGATAATGGCAGGTTTTGTTCAGGGTGGGTAAAATACTCTGATGTTCAGTTTCTCTTGGCAACCTTACAGGGGAAAAAGTTCTTTGTGAAAAATCAATGAATCAGACTCATAACTTCTCCATATTTCTTTCCAAATGATTTGCAAAGTGAATTGATACTGTTGTCTACAAAAGAGTCAGAAAAATCCTATTTCCTCAATCTACTGATGATTTTATGAGAGATAGAATTTATAATTTTCTTGTCAACATAAGGCTTTGATTTAACTTTAATTCAATTCAGTTCTGTTGTTTAAATGACACCTCAGTTTGATGATAAATCTCAATCAAGTAATGAAATACCATCAGCTTTTAGCACTTATTATATAATTGTGTATAACAAATATAAAATCTGATACAATAAAGCTTACACAAAAAATGTCATTTCCTTAATATTGTCTACATGTAATTTGAATCTGCAGGAGTCATATAATGGCAATTGTAAAGGTTGCATGTGTCACATAGCCTTCAACAAAATGGACAAAAGATCGAGGGGGGTGGGGCTGGAGAAAGAGGTAAAGGGGAAATTTCAGGCTAGGAAGCACATAATTATGTGTCCCTCTCTTCCTCTTTTTCAGTGGGGCAAATCATTTGAGCAAGACCAGTCCAAACCACTCCAATACTCTTTCCAACAGATACTGACAATTGCAGGGCAAAGACGGGAACCAGTAGTTAATGTTTCTGTTTTTTTAAAATACATATTTTTTTGGTTTTCATTTTGTACCACAATGTTAACCGTAGAGCAAGTGGCGAAGGGGATATATTCCATATGTTTCAGGCAGTACCACTATGCAAAGGTCAATCAAACATACAGAGTAGCTAATGAAAGATTTTACAGCAATCAGGGAGTTCTGTCTGCCCTCAGGGAGGGGAGGAATCAGCTATGATGAAACATTAGTAAAATATTTGAGTTCAAGAGAGCAAAACATGCTTCAGGGTGACCTCTCATCATAGCATTATTACAATTAGAGAATTAATGTTTCCACACCAGGAGAATAAATAAAGGGGATTATTTCATGGATTAACACCGCAACTATGCTATAGCAATAAAGCATAAAAACTATAGCATGCTCTAAGGAACCATAAAAAGCGATGACAATGGACTGACAAACATCAGACAGCATTTCTAAAAAATATTTTCAATATTAAATTGAGTCACTGCAGCTCTGCAGTCATTAAAAATAATTCAAATTCCCATGGTTAAAGTCCCAGGGAAGATCCGCCTCTTAATTCCATCATGCCAAAATGGACATTATCTTATAAGACTGAAAGGGTCTCTTGCCCCTTGAAGTATGGTTGACCAGGCACCCACTCTGAAGCAGCAGCCTGACACTTGGACCATATTTTCAGAAGGCAATAGCATGTTGATAATACTGCCTTATCAGCCACAGCAGTCAGAATTAGAGTTCTAAATGTAATAGTCTATAATAGCACAGTGAAGGACCTATCAGATAAGCCTACCTTCTCAAAGGGTGGTGGATTCATTCTAGATTGCGGGGTACTGAAGCAGAGAAAATGGATTTTTTTTCTTTTTTGCAAAGGGATCCCACCCAGAGGCAAAATCCTCACCCAGAGGCAAAATCATGGAGCAGGGCCTCAAGGAATCCATTTTGAAGCACTTGGAGGAGAGGAAAGTTATCAGGAACAGTCAACATGGATTCACCATGGGCAAGTAATGCCTGACCAACCTGATTGCCTTCTTTGATGAGATAACTGGCTGTGGATGTGGGGAATATGGTGGATGTGATATATCTTGACTTAAGCAAAGCTTTTGATACCGTCTCCCACAGTATTCTTGCCGGCAAGTTAAAGTAGTATGGATTGGATAAATGGACTATAAGGTGGATAGAAAGCTGGCTAGATTGTCAGGCTCAACAGGTAGTGATCAACGGCTTGATGTCTAGTTGGCAGCTGGTATCAAGTGGAGTGCCCTAGGGGTCGGTTCTGGGGCTGGTTTTGTTCAACATCTTTATTAATGATCTGGAAGATGAGATGAATTGCACCCTCAGCAAGTTTGCAGATGACACTAAGCTGGGGGGAAAGATAGATATGCTGGAGGATAGGGATAGGGTCCAGAGTGACCTAGACAAATTGGAGGATTGGGCCAAAAAAAAATCTGATGAGGTTCAATAAGGACAAGTGCAGAGTCCTGCACTTAGGAAGGAAGAATCCCGTGCACCGCTAGAGGCGGGGACTGACTGGCTAAGCAGCAGTTCTGCAGAAAAGGACCTGGAGATTACAGTGAATGAGAAGCTGGATATGAGTCAACAGTGTGCCCTTGTTGCCAAGAAGGACAACGGCATATTGGGCTGTATTAGTAGGAGCATTGCCAGCAGATCGAGGGAAGTGATTATTCCCCTCTATTTGGCAATGTTGAGATCACACCTGGAGTACAGTGTCCAGTTTTGGTCCCCACGCTACTGAAGGGATGTGGACAACTTGGAAAGAGTCCAACGGAGGACAACGAAAATGATTAGGGGGCTGAGGGAACTGGGGTTATTTAGTCTGCAGAAGAGAAGAGGGAGGGGGGATTTGATAGCAGACTTCAATTACCTGAAGGGGGGTTTCCAAAGAGGATGGAGGTAGGCTGTTCTCAGTGGTGGCAGATGACAGAACAAGAAGCAATGATCTCAAGTTGCAGTGGAGGAGGTCTAGGTTGGATATTAGGAAACACTATTTCACTAGGAGGGTGGTGAAGCACTGGAATGGGTTACCAAGGGAGGTCGTGGAATCTCCATCCTTAGAGGTTTTTAAGGCCAGCTTGACAAAGCCCTGGCTGGGATGATTTAGTTGGTGTTGGTCCTGCTTTGAGCAGGGGATTGGACTAGATGACCTCCTGAGGTCTATGACAGTTCTGAATTTCTGGATCTAGTTAATGAAAGTTGATTATTTCTAAGGGAAGTTTTGATTGGTATCTAGTCAGTGGGCACTGTACCACCAGGAGGCGGATCATAATTTTAAAGAACTCACTACAACTAATCAGGATGAATTCATTAAATAATGCAAACTGACAGGTTGATGTTTCACTGTTATTGATTTTTGTGGTAACTCAGTGACTTGTTACAGGGCTGTTTCAAAAATTCTCTCCATACAGTAAATTACAATATTAACAAACATCTATAGTTCCACTATGTTGTCTGCGATAATCAACAAAAATTAATGAGTGGCTGATTGTACATGTGACAATGAAATGGTTAAGAATTACAATACAATATTAGAAAATATTATGCACTGAGAGATCATTGCAACTGGAAGCACATTGATTTGTGATGTGGTAGTCCTCCCAATGTAATTCCATAGCTTTTGACCAATAATAATGAAGGATCTCCAAATATCATTGTATATCATTTACCTCACATCTATAACTAAAACCAAATAGATGCAACACTAACTACTGGCAGTTCCCCATGTTCCAAACAAGTACCATTTTAATTAACTCACCTGTGGAATCAGGTCATTTGTCAACTGCTGCTGACTACCAGGAGGCCTGAAAATAAAACACACACTTTTTGAAATGAACAAGATAGAAGTATTGTATGGCTGGGATAAACAGAATAATACTCCATGTGCTGACTGCGAACATGACATTTTAATCCCATAAAGTATTAAAAGACATTATTTTACAAAGATGGAAACAAGGAGTGGGGTATTTATATTATGATCCAAGTTTTCAAGAGCAGCTTCTTATGTTGTTGATGCACATTTAGAAGCCTATCTATCTGATCAAACCTCAACCTGGCCTTCTGTATTGGAGGTACAATTTTGTACATGCAGTCAATTGCACCAAAATTTTGTAACTGCAATAAAATGCAGGTGCAAAATTGTGTCAGTGATATTGGAAGCAAAGGTGAAGATTGGCCAACCATAAAGATCCATTTATATATATTTAATTAAGGACTGACTGTACAATGGAATGGAGAAACAGGTCCTATATTTTTTTAAAAGAGCTCTAAAAACCGACTACAGTAAAACTACATTTTGGAGATCTTTCATCAAGTACCCACACCTTGATGGGATCCAATTAGCATCAAAATATTCTAAATTAATGCTGCACTACAGAATCTCCAGACCCATCCACTTCAAGGAGTTAAACAAAATCAATGGGAACCCAAAGTCTATAAATGTTCAGGATGTTCTGTGCCTTTAGAACCTATGTGTGTGAGCAAAATGTTCATCTAAATATCAATATTTAATGTTAAAACATGGCAGCATCTTATGAAAACACCTTAAACATCAATTTACAGTAAAGGTAAATTACAGTAAAGTACCAAGAACATCCAATACGTGATTGCCTAAGTCTTTGCATATATTTTATTTGAAAATGTGTCGGAGTATGATTCTTTTCTCATTGTATCAGTTAATTTAAAGCAACTATGGAAGGTGTCACACTGAAAGTACTACAGATTTCAGACCATTGTTTATGCACAGATTAGGAGGATACAGTATTGCATTGACAGAAGAAGCAGAAGCCTCTACCTATGAATTTCTAAGCTGCCTATCAGTATAATATTTATTCTGTTAACTGATCCACTAATGTGATGTGCCTCAACCTAAACACCCAATATAATAAGAGCAGTTCAGTCTACGCTCACTCTGTCCTTGTTCTGTCTGCTGAGACAGGCAGTTATATCAATCCTCATTCTGTCTACAGAGACGGCCAATTACTTTCAATTAATGCCAAGCATGGTGATAGTTTTCATGATGTGGACATCTGTCCACTAGGACATGGAGTAGGACCACCAACTTATTTCACATGGCCCTGCAAACATCCAGTAAATTACAAACTGGAATAAATTTGTGACCTAGAGGTTACAGACCCATCACTAGCCTCATCAGTCACTCATCCCTTTCCAGTGGGGGGTTTTATTTAAGAGACAGTCAGTTTTCCATAGAGGTTGCTGTAGAGGTTGGATCCCTGCAAGCTTTCCAGGGAAGATTTTTAGCCAGTCAATGACTTGTAGCTGGATCTGTCAACTTGCATACTGTTTAAACAAACTAAAAAAACCTTTGTCATCACAGATAATGCAACACCAAGATAAACTGAATACCTAAATCAAACATCTTTTAAACTGAATAACTTTTCTAAGCTTTTCACGCTGAAAACTACAATATTTGCATAAACCACTGTCAAATCAATGGGATTTTATTTAAATCTAGGATGGATCAAAATTATCAGATGCTGAAACCTGAGTACTCCAGTATAAAATACTTATTTTAAAGTATCATTGGTGGGTGGATATTAGATCCACCCAAAGTAAAATATTTTAAATAAACAAAACATCTTCTCAATGATGGATGAAAACCATGGGACTGATCTTGGGGGTACAAATAATCTGTACAGACTACAGATCAGGGATCCCTGTGCAAAACTAGCTTAAGGCTCATCCTTGCACTCCCCCGATCCTCCTGCTGCTCTTTACAAGACCATTGCCCCTGAGGCAATATTTGAGCAGTCTGACTTAAAGACCTACCAGTTCTCCCTACATACAGCTTTGTTGCCTGGAATCACCAAATAAGATCTCCCTATACTTGGTCTGGACTAAGCAGTCATGGAAGAAACCACACATTGACCTCTAATTTCAACCTAGGTATGTGCCTTCTGATCTCTAATGTAGATCTGAACCTCTTTGTTGAGTGAGAGGCCAGATCCAATCCTTTGTTAAGCAAGCTGGAGTCTGTGTCACTGTACCCCAGTTTTCTTCTGCCAGAGTGGTTTCTTCTTGCTACTTGAGAGATTTCCTCAATCTGATGTATAGTCTGAACCAAGAAAATAGGATGAAGAAGCATGTGAAGAATCCCAATTGGTGACGATCAGTCCTGGAAATTCTGCCCTCATTGGAAAAAACACTTGAGGTAAAGTGGGCCTGAAGTTTTCTTTTGAGGACTTGGCTACTGTGATTTTAGCAGCAAGCTTTTGCTGCATTGTGTTGTGGTGCTATCCTCTCCTGCACCTCATCTATATCTATATTACATCCAAAAAGTTTGTTAAAAGAAAGTTATTTAGTTGTTTACTATTAAGAACAGGTCCACTTTCTTTCACTGCATTCGTAATTTTTTGCAAAAGGAGAAAGAGGTTTATCTTCCTTAACTTCTTCAGAAAACAAGAGAAAATGTAATTACTTTGCATCAAAGTTTTCCTGGCAGTCTCAACTTCCTTCTATCTATGCATCCAGGCATGAGAGGAGACGTCCCACATTGGGAAGTAGCTTACAAGATGTTGTTTAACTTGTGCCTGAGTTTCTATTTGTCAGGGTTGGGAGCTCTGGGATCTGCACTGGCTGCCTTTTGGTCTCCAGGTAGAGTTTAAGATGTTGATTATGGCCATCTATAAATCCTTAAATGGCTTGGCACGTGCCTAACTGGGTTTGGGTCTCTCCCTGTGGCAAACTGTTACATTTGCATTAGTGGAGGTAATGAAGCTGGATCACCGTCTCTATAAGAGTGTGAGGCTGCCAGCAGGCATTCTCAGTGAGAACCCTGGGACTGTGAAACTTGCTCACCACCCTGCTTTGTCTGAAATAGCCAAAATTTACTAAACCTTCTAGACACACTGCAAAAGCCATTTGCTTGAATGATTTTCAGGGAAGAATGCTCCTAGGTATAATTTGGGAGGTGGGGGGTGTGAGAGGCTTTTTTGAAGATTTTTATTTTTATTTTCTGCTGCCTGAGGTAAATCACTGCCTCCTTTTGAATAGTGAAGACTGCTGGCTCATGGAGTTAATTCATTTGTATTTATGTTCCTAGATGATTACTGTATTTAATTGTCAGGGTGCTCAGCGCTTTGTACAGTCATTCTTTTATAATGTTAATCAATTTATAAAATTTATAAAATAAATTATGGTAAGTGCCATTCTGTTTATTTACCCTGCAAATTACTGAAGTCACACAGGAGTATATATGTGATATAGGCTTAAATGATATCAAACCCAACTGTTGAGTGAAATGTGGTACCAAACCTACCATCTAGGCAGAAGAGAGAACATTTAGTGAGCACACCACAGGAGATTTGTCTGCCTACTTCAGTGGCTGCATATGCCCATGCCTCAGTATTAACCCATGTCTCAGAGACTCTCCGATGAACTTCTGAATGATGGAGCATCCTCTTGCTTAGTCCCCCTCTGAGGGCTTGCCAGCTTATAAGCCTTGAACCTTCACACACTGTTTCTATAGTGTTTACACTGCAAACTGGGGAAACTTGTCTAAATAAGTATCATAGGGGTAACCGTGTTAGTCTGTATCAACAAAAACAACGAGGAGTCCGGTGGCACCTTAAAGACTAACAGGTTTATTTGGGCATAAGCTTTCATGAGTAAAAACCCACTTCTTCAGATGCCTGGAGCATGAAGAAGTGCATCTGAAGAAGTGGGTTTTTTTACCCATGAAAGCTTATGCCCAAATAAATCTGTTAGTCTTTAAGGTGCCACCAGACTCCTCGTTGTTTTTGTCTAATAAGAAACCCACTTCCTCATGCCGCCGGGACTGATGAACCTCCTCCACAGTGAAAATCAGGTTACTTCACCTGATGTAGAGGGGAAGCTGTGTGCTGCCTTCTTAGGCTTTTTAGGAGTTTTGCTCTTAGCTTTCTTCTCCCAGTGGCAATCTTACACAACTCAAGTCTGAGTAAAGAAACTGTCTATGGCATATACTTGCTCTGTGATGTCAGTTTTCACATGGTAAGCAGGTCAGAACTAGGTCAAGAGTAAGAGGCCTTGAAGGAACACGTAGGTGCTCAAGGGTTATTGAGCTGGCAATTCAAGTAGGGCCTGAGTCTTCACTGATGTAATAGTGTAACACCCTGTTTATGCTCCTAGAGATGTTAGGCTTTAAATGAGATGTACAACTGCAGTTCTGAACACTTACTCTGATTAAGATTCTGATGACTTTTCTAAAGACTAAGGATATTAACCCCAATGACCTAACCCAATTCCAATGTGGGTGCTGCAGTTCATTTCTGCATAAGTAAATAGCCACTCCATTTTCAATTGGATAGGTTGTTCTTCACTTCCTGTCCTAAACAGACATGTAGTTTTACTGTGCATTATTAAACTGCTTCTGTGCTTCACCACAGAGGTGGCTACATGTCAAGGGTGGATGAAGTGATATTTTTATATCAATTAGTAATTACTGTAAAGTGCTTTGGGGTGAAATGCCATAAAGGATGTGAACTTCAAGTGGAGAATAAGCAGCAGGAGCACACAAATTCATAAATGGCATAAATCCTATTTTTATGTAAATTGCCCTCATAATAAAGAACAGGCAAAAGATCAGATAAACACAGAAGAAGATATGACATATATGCAGAGTTCTCGCTAAATAGAATTTTTCTTCTCATTTTCTATGAGACATCTGTGTGTCTTTAAGCCAATAGCACCCTCATCTGAGCACCAGCTAATTCAGCATCCATAATATTTAATCATGTAAGACTCCTGGCTCTATGAACCTCTGAGCTAATTAATCCATCCTAGTGCTGTGTGGGATTGAAAAATC